CCCAGAGAGCCAGTTACTAACATTTATGAGCAACCACTGGTCCCACTGCATCTGGGACCTAGAGGAGTTCTTATTGCATACGAATCTAAAAAAGGCCTTTGGGCATTTAATAGGGGTTGGACATGCTTCTGGAAGGTTTCAATAGAAGCAGGGAGGATTCTGGGGATGTTCCAAGGAAGACTCTCACACTGGAGGTCTCAGGGCAGGGGCTCAACTCACCTTGGTCCTGGGCCCCTAGCAGGCCAATTTCAGTGATCTCTCGACACCAGGTCTGCAGTTCAAGGTCCTCTTTCACCGCCTTGTCCGTCTTATAGTGAAGATTCACAATTCCCTCCACATAGCTGTCGGCCAAGGGGTTGGGCCAAGAGAGCCGAAGTTGACAGGGAGCCTCCAGGCCCTCTGCTAGTTGTCCACAGGGCCAGGCCAGGGCCCGCAGACCCCCAACACAAACTCTGCTGTTCTCCCAAGCCTCTCGCTGCCCGCCCACCCCCACCGGCCTGCCTTCCCCTTGCCTCACCGAGAGATGACTTCCCAGAGGCGCAGGGCATCCTGGGCGTAGTAAGAAGACTTGACTCCCAGAAGCCCCCGATCAGCCAGGTCATGAGGGGGACAAAATGACCTATAGGTTAAAGAGGCTCCAGCTCGCCTAAGCAGCTCCACGTGGCCTCCTCCACCGGTGCTCACCACCTGGGACACAAGGATGGACCGGGTCAGGCAATGCCACCTGCCTGGAGCCAGGGCCGGGGGAGCATGTGCTCCAGAACCCCCCTTCTCCCTTCATACCTGGTCAAAAATACCCAGGTCAGAGACCAGCCCTGCCCTGGCCCGCACGTTAATTTCCATGGTGTATCGCAGGTGGGGGATTATCAGCTGTAGGAAGAGAGCAGGGCAAAGTCAGAAGAGAGCTGTGGCACGTCCTCAAAGGAAACTGCAGTTGAAGAGCAGGAAAGGTACCACCAGGTCTTCAGGAAAAGCAGAGGCATGAAGTTCAGTGGCCCCTCGACACCAAGAGTGTCCAGTTGATTTGTAATTCATTCCATAAACCATTGCCTTATTGCTCTATGATAGTGGAAAGAAATCACCCTCCTTTTCTTTTCATATAAGACTGTTCAAGCTCGCCCGGCAGGGGGTGGCTCAGAGGCTGAGCATCGACCTAGGATCCAGGAGATCATGGTTCGAGTCCCGGGCAGGGCACATGCCCGGGTTGCCGGCTCAATCCCCAGTCGGGGGCGTGCAGGAGGCGGCCGATCAATGACTCTCATCATTGATGTTTCTATCGCTCTCTCCCCCTCTCCCTTTCTCTCTCTGAAATCAATATATATTTTTTTTAAAAAAAGACTGTTCAAGTTCTAGTTCAAAGTTTCTCAACCTTTTTTCATTATCACTCCTTTAAAGATCCTTTTCAGATATTTTCCTCTTCTTATCCCCATGTAATTTTAATGCTACAAATATACTATATCTGTTATGTACTATGTGTATATATGTGCTTTATACATAAAACATTAAAAGTTGTTTGCACCCCAGAACTTTCCCACGGTTCTGGACCCCCTTTCACCGCCTGGGGCATAACTGCCTCCGTGGAGAATGCAGGCTCTAAGCCGCCTACCTCCAGAACCTCCTTGCCTACCCTTTCCTTTTTGTCCATTACAGTCACCTTCTTTCTGGTCTTCAAACATGCCAAGCTCATTCCTGCCCTGGGCCTTTGCACTGTTTTAAGCTCTTGCCTCTGCCCAGGACACTGTGCACCTTGATCATCTCATGGCTGGCTCCTCATAGTCTCCTTCTCTATGTCATCTCAGGGAGCCTTTCCTGACCACCCATCTGGACTCGACACCACATCACTCTGCTTCCATTCTCTGCATTGTGCTTATCATAGCTGATAGGTCATGATACCATCTTTACTGCCTGTTAGCCCTAAATAGAAATGAAAATCCCCAAAGGCCTTGCCTGGCTTGCTTAGCACAGGCATCTAGAATGGTTCTTGCCCCACTGGAGGCACCCACGAAGAAAAATTAGTAGGTAAATACTCGGTTCGAATTGTCTGTAAAAAAAAGGGGGGTGGGGCTTCTGTTGTGGACCTGAGCCCGTCTAACTGGCCTGCATGTTATTATTTTAGAATCGGTCAAAACTGGCTGGAAAGGTGTCCTCTGTTATTTCCCTGGTCCTCTTTTGGGATGGAATCCTGTCACTCGTGTGTACTGTTTATGTGCCGTACGCTCATCTGTCTGTGCTTTATACACAGAATACGACTTCTCACCTCCCACCCCACCCACCTTGCCAAGAAATCATTTTCACCTCCTTGGGAGGTGATGTCGCCCTGCTGAAAATGCAGAGAAGCCATGCTCACCCCCTTGCTCCCTTGTCTGTCATTGGTTGGCTTTCCCTGCACCCTAAGATGCCACAGAGAAGGTGCCTCCAGAGGCGGCACTGTGCCATGGGGCAGAGGGGCAGGCAGGAGAGAATGGGATAAGGTGTTACCTTAAAGATAGGATGTATCGATGGAAGGCATCTCATGGTGGCCACAGCGATAACCTCAGCCATCAAATGTCCCCTCAAAAGATGAGACTGCAGCTCATGAAGCTGGAAGTCAGAGCTACGGACCCAGCATTTGGCCAGGAGCCAGGCCATCGGGGGATCCGTGGGCAGGAAAATTGGTGGTGGTGGGGATCCCACACGTGGCAACTGGAGCTGGAGCAAGGATACAGGGTGGGGAAGAGACAGATGAGTGCCAGGCGCCCAGCAGAGTCCCCTCCTTTGCATATTTAACCGCTGCCTTCTTCCCCAAATTTGCTTAGCTTTCTCCATCGCACTGCTGCTACTCCCAACAGCCGCTATCCCTCTCCGGCCTTTCCTACCCACTCAGCGCGTTAACCACACAAGCTGCAGAAGCTGCTCTTCCACTACCTCCCTGGCTTCCACTTCCCCTTTCAGGCCCCTCAGTGTGGACAGGATTCAAACCCTCTGCTGCCTTTATCCCACACTTTTTCAGAAAGTTCAGCTTCTCTCTGATCTTTCAACACCACCCCTACTCAGCTCACTAAGTCTCCAGTTCTCAGCTAGTCACTAGGTAGAGGTAACAATTTGAGTGTCTCCCATTACCTCATAATTGGCCAGACAAAAGCCCACCCTAGCATCTTTTCCTCTATTTGTCCTATTTCTGCAGGCCTTGCCTGACTCTTCCTTTTCTCTTTCCTTGAACCCAGGCCCATTCAATTTTCCTCTGCATCCCACTCATCTTTCCTCTGCACCCCCACAGTTATTCCCCACAACTGATTCCATCACCCCCATCTTGGACAATTGCTGTAGCATATTACCCTAATAATCTCTGAATCTAGCATCTCCCTTTTCCAATCTATCCTAATCCAAAGGACACACAGAATGTGCCTACAGCATCTTTCACAACAGCCTACAGCAGCTTCCTGTGTCCATATTCCTTCATTTGGCATCACTGCCCATTGCAGCCTGGGCCCTCTCACCTCCTGTTAACCCCCACCACTCCAGCCCAACTGTCCCCTGGTGATCTAACTTCTCACACTCAGCACACCTCAGCCTCTGCCCAGCCCATCTTCTCCTGGGAGGAGGTCCTGCTCCTCCCCCAAGGCTCGTGCCCACCCCACTTCCCGTGACTCCTCCCAGACTGTCCCCACTCTCAGGTGCTTCCTCAGTACTGGAGCGCATTTAGATTTTCCCAGCCTGTCTCGCCAGCGGGACTGCGCCTTTCTGGCTTTGCCCATGGCCGCCTTTGATGCCACCCCCAGTGCTTTAGCACCAGTGAATCCTCAGCGAATTTGAGTTGAGGGGCTGAGCTGAGAGGGCCAACCACGGGGAAGCAGGAATCCTCTCACCTGGATGGCCATGGGCAAGAGTTTTCCATCAGACTGCAGTTTCAGCATGACCAGAGGGGCAGCCAGGTGCTGCTGGCTGCACAAGATGACATTAGCCTTGATCCCATCCAGCAGGGAGAAGTCGGCTTCAAACAGTGTGCCTCCCTGGATGGGGGCAGAGGGCAAGGGCTATCAGCACAGGCCATCTTATTCCCACCCTGGCTCCTCAAAGGGAGAAGAAAAAGGGGGGAACTAACTCCATCACCCACTCCATGCTAGGTCCAAATCACATGCTTACGGCCTCACATAAGTCTTACACGCACTTGAATTAGCCCCAGGTTTATAAAAAAGGAAACATGATAAAAGAAGATGGGCGTCTTGCCTGAAATCACAGTTTATAAACAGCAGAGCCAGGGTTCAAAACTCACCCTATAATCCATGAGTTTTCTCTCTCACTTGGCCTATGTTGACTCCTGAAGTAGTAGCCCCACCCATGATCTGCTTCTCTTACCCACACTCCCTCAGATTCCTAGCACCAAGGCCCAGTTATTTCTTCATGTCACCCATCACACACTCGACCCCTCCTCCACAACGTGCCTTTCTCATTCGAGAAGGAAGGCCATGTGGCTGCACACCTCCAGGATCACTCAAGATCTCTCCTGTAGAACTCCCTCTTGCCATCCGGTGGCAAGCTGGGCTCACAGTGGACCCCGAAGCAGCACAAGCACTGACCGCACTCCCATTCCACTGTGTGGCCTCCTTTGGGTTATCATGTCCATACCTGCAGCTCCTTCTCCAGCTGGGCCTGCAGCTCCTCCATCCCTGGAGGAAACACTAGGCGCGCAGGAAGTTGACTGGAGCGCCTTAGCAACATGGGGTTGGCCCCGTTGAGAAACTGGTACCCAAATAAGGCATCCTCCTTCCAGGAGTCCCGCACTTGCACTGGGGATGGCAGTTGTGGAGCACATTGTGAGATCTGAGTTCCTGGTTCTTCTAACCCCCACCAAACCATCCCCTCTTGACCCCAGTCTACCAGAGGGACCCAGACCTCAGGTCTCCCAGCCCTGGTTCCCTAGATTGGGTGGTAAGGGTCCTGGGAGAAGTACTGGGTTAGGGATACTAACCAGCCAGCTTGCTCTGGCCACACCAGAAAATCTTCTTGAAGTCATCCAGATCATTCCAGCAAGCAAGAACATTAAAAGAGTCTTTGACAGCGAGGTCGAGCAGCCTTCAGGTAAGGATAGGCAAAGCATTTGAGTGTTATTCTCAGTATCACACATCACAGGCACCCACCTTGAGCTAGCCCAGCCCTCTGCGGTCCATGGGACCCCCTGGCCTCCAGTGGACCAGGACACCTCCCTCCCTCTCATCCTGCCCCCATGGTTCTCACCCCTTGGCCAGTGAAGCCTCAAAGTCAATTTTCTTGTCCTCCAGAAACCTCTCATCTGTCGGAAGGTCACCTAAATTGGCCGCAGCCACATTCAGGATTAACCCATCCTTCCAGTTACCCCATCTGTGGTGCAGAAATGAAATCAGGCGTTGATGTGAGGAAGGGCCCGGGACTCCCTGCGAGGTCAGGAGGAGTGGGGGCAGAGGTAGGGCTAACTTACTGGTACAGCTTCCTTCGGCCTTCCAGCTCCTCCTCCCTGTATTTCTTGAACTGGCCTTGAGGGTCGTCTGCCAACGTGCGGCCTACAAGTGCGGAGGAAGGCATGGACCATGGGGCTTCCCCTGAGGGCCTCCCCCCTGTCCCTGAAAGGGGTCCCTTCTCAGCCCACCCTTGCGGGGATGGGGGGAAGATGTGACCCTTCAGCCTCACACCCCTCCCAGGCTCCTTGTGGCTGCAAGCAAACTCCAGCAGCCCACCTCCTCCGCCAGCCAAAAAGATCCAGCCCTCGGGTTCCGGCCCCCAGGTCCTGTTCCCTCTTCTCCTCTCCCCGACCCCCAGCGTCTCCTGTGCCGCAGAGGCCTCCTCACCAGTGCCCTCGGGTAGGGTCAGGACGCTGTTGCCCTCCACCCAGCGGTAACATGGGAACCTGAACTCGTCCCCACTGGCCCCGGGGCCCTGCACGGAGATCCAGTTGCAGAACCAGGCGTCGTTCTGTAAGAGGTGCCATTTGCGTATCTTCACGAACAGCAGCGGCCCCAGGTACTCCTTCACGTCCACCTCGAATTCCGTCTCCTGCAGGCGACAGGAGAGGCTCAGCGCCAATGCCGATGGCCGGAAGGGGCCTGGGACTGATCCCAGCTCCCGCGCAGGCCCCGCTGCGGGGCTTCTGGGGGAGCGGCGCAGAAGGGGCGCGCACAGGGCGTTTCCGTCGGCCCCTTACCCGTCGCCGCGTCCCTCCGCCTGCGGTGAGGCGGCGGAGGGAAGACGCGCTCCTTCCTGCCCTCTTTCCGCGCTCTCGTCGCTGGTTGTACTAAGCGCTGAGCTGGGCGCCGGGCGTCGGCGCCGCGCCCTAGGCGAGCGCACGGTGGCGCCGGCAGATACGCCGGTGACCGGGCAGTGATAGCGGGGAGACCTGGGCGTCCCCACCACCATTTCCAAGGCGGTAGCGGCCCCCGCCCGCCCTGGGGGCAGGATTCCCGGAGGACATTCTGCCTGAGCGGAGACCTCTAGGTGTGAAGCGTTTAACCAGGGAGAGGGAGAGCGAGGAAGGGGTCGGAGGAGTGCGTGCGGGGCAGAGGAAGCGAGAGAGCGGAGGCTGAGCGAGGGCGCGCCCGGGTGCAGCGGCGCACGGAGCGGGAGGGAGAAGAGCGTGACCAGATGGCGAAGTCTCAAAGGTTAACCCGAGGGCTTTGAATCTGGTCCTGAGGACGAGCAGAAACCATTCAAATGTTTGACGGGGGAGGGGGGTATTAAGGGTGGGAATGTATTTGGAAGAAGCTGTTCTGGCTGCAGAAGGGCAGGAGAGGAGACGGCCAAGTGACGTAGGTTCAAGGGGACACTGGTGGCCGCGGTTGGGTCGGACATCAGGAAACGGGTGCCGGAGACGTCGGGGAGACAGAACTGACAGCGCTTGGTTCTTGGTTAGAGGCGGCGCACAGAGGGGCAGGCACGAGTGACACGGGGGAGGCTGCGGGAGAGGTGGGGCAGGGGGAGGGCCTCCCTTGGGCATGTTCCTTTTGAGCGTCCGTGGGACAGACATCCGGATCTGGGGGTCTTGGAGAGAGCTGGCTGGGCGATGGAAACTTGGGGGTGGGAATTGCAGAAGAAAAAAGCAACAGGAGCCAGGGGTGAGTAACAGGTGGATGTGATGGGAGAGGGAAGCGGGTCAGGAAATTCTGCTCTCAGCTCCGAACCCCCCACCCCC